GTAGGATGCGACTTCTCGCACTTCTTACAGCGGCTTCGTTTCTGACAGTTCTTGGAGATATGTCCTTCCTGTAAGCAGCCGAAACATAGTCCATGTTGACGTATGTAGTCAGTCTTCTCTTCCTCAGTCTTCGCCCCGAAAGCTCTGCAAGTCTCCAGGTCATGAGGATGCTCGCAGTAGGCACACTTGGCCGTTTGCTTCATGTTGCTTGCGTAAGCTCGACTTCTTCGTTCTTGGTGGAGCTGATGCTCCCGATTCTTCATCCCCTTTCTTGCAGGCTGCTGTGCTTTCTGCACGGTCGTGGCTTGTGATCGTGTGTCCTTCTTCTCTTGAGCACTGAGCACATGTCTTCCATAGACAGGGTGGGACACGATCCTTGCTTCTGATTCGATGAACTCGACGAAGTCTCTGAAACTGACCTGCCTCTGGTCAGTCCTCTTCCTTTCTCCGTCTTCTCTTCTGTCTCGTCTCTGATCCTGTTCGATCCTGTCGACCGCTCTGCGCCAGCGATCAGCGACCCACGGCGTCTTCTGAATGGCCTGGCAGATCATCCATGAATCAAACCCACTGTCTGCCAAAGCAGGTGAGTGAAGAGCGTTGAGAGCACCTCGCAGAAACACTGAGTAGTCATCAAGGCCGTTCACATCTTCATATCTCACGCGCGGGTAGTTTTGAATCTTCTCGATCACTGATGCTCTGGACTTCATCGCATTGTCATATCTCACTCTGAGTAGACGAATAGCTTCACTGTAACCATCATCACCCAGGTAGACGCAGGTGGCTACAATGTCATGAGGCTTACCTTTGGTCAGCTGCAACAGGTACATCAGCTTCTCTTCTTCCCTGTCCAGCCTACACGCTTCAGGTCCCGCACTACCAGTTTCTCGATGTCAATGTCCATAGCTTATGTATGTTAATATACCTATGTGCATGTGAAAGCGTAATGCCAAAATGTGTTCAGCACTGATAAACAGCAGCTGTCATAGTCGGGTGCATCTCGTGTCAATGTTCTGCGAAATGTACCAATGGCAGTACCATATTGTACCCAAGAAGCGTATAACTGTCAATGTTCAAATCGTCTGACTGTCAAATGTACCTACCAATGGCAGCATCATATGGTACCAAAACAAACCCATTGTCAAAGCTCATATTGCCTGGCTGTGAAACGTACCAAGGCAACATCATGTTGTACCAAATCAAGCCTATCATCAAAGTTCACATTCCCTGGCGGCAAAATGTAAGGCAGCACCGTACCGTACACAACATGCGTCGACCAGAGGCCTCTTGCACCAAACTACCTACCTAGGTAATTTCAGCTTTTACCTAGATTCTCTTGCACCAAACTACCTACCAAAAAACGCTACCGTGAAAATTTACCTAGAAATTCTACCGAGTGGCAAAGAACTTACCAATTGTTAAAATCCGACCGGCTGTTTTCCTCTTGCACCGAAAGCCGGAAAGAAGTACTCGCGGAGGAATTTTTGACGATTTGACGGTAAACGCGGGCTTCCAAAATAACTAGCAAAACCTTAGGTAAAATGATTCAATTAGTAACAATAGGCACAATACATATTAATCCACGGGTACTTTTATGTAAATTAGGCATTACAAAATGTTTAGACAATGAGAAATCAATATTTTTATGAGTGAATAATAATATAATTGACTAAATGCTCCATGGGTTCACAGAGGTGCTTCTCCGTACCAAGGCGATAAACCTCCGTAGCAGAACAGCCAGGTTGAAGACTCACTCGTTGCCATGGAAACTAAGCTTATTTGTTCAAGTAATTTAATATCAAAATAACTTCTATCGGTATTTACGTAAATAAAAAATGATTTCATAATACCAAAATGTATATTAATAAAAACAATATCCATTTAATTGTTTTCTTAAGTTACTATTTGTTTGCGCCCACAAATAATTCGTCGCCAAACAGCCAATCAAAACAAATCCTAAAAACCCGAGCTGTCAAATTTACCTAGGTAGGTAGGTAGGATGGTGCAAGAGAAGCTACCGCCGTAGGTAGTTTTACTAGGTAGGTATTTTGCCGATTCTACCTAGCTAGGTATTTTGGTGCAAGAGGCCTCAGGTTATATCTGGCCAGGCTGCGAAACGTACCAACGGCAGCACCGTTCTATGCACAACATGGGTACACTGCACTTGTACCAATGGCAACAGTTCAACATGGCAACACTGATCATCGGTACCATTTAGTACCAATCGTACACTCGTACTTCTAGCGCAGTCGGCGCAGGCTGCCAGTCGTACCAACGGCAACAGTCAACAAATGTTCCCCGAGCATTAACACTGACGAATAGTGTTTTTCAAAGCAAGAGTTCATCTGGTAGGCAATGCAATGCGCAAATGGCGACAGCATCAAAGCAAGCTGCTGAAACTAGTGACATTGTGGCACTTATCGCGTTGTAGAACTTGAAGTCTGATGGCGCTGGAGAACTCGCTGTTTCCGCTGCCGTTCTTGAAGTCGCATTCTTGAAATTTGTCGTTACTAAATGTTCGCGCGCCGTCAATGAGAAACGTCGTTCACGGGCTCTCAGTCCTCTATATTTTCTCCTCCATTCCTCCTCCTTCTTCCAGCGCTAACGGCCTGAGCCTGAATCAGCCGCGTACCGCCATGGCCAGACAGAGCCTCGTACAACAGGAGCCAGGAGCCTTGAGCCGTAACTAAAACACGCATACACACAAACGAAACAAGGTAAGTTCCAGACAAATAAATCCGTATCATAACATTGGTCAGTCGTATCACGATAATTTCAGAATAATAAGCAAAGCGCTTCACAATAACATCCGACATTTGGTACGATTTAGTGCTTACCGACAAATTGTCACTCTCCGGCGTAACGAACAGTGTTCATGCTTAAATTCATAGCCAAAATTCTTCCTTTTCACTCAAACAACATTTTTGCAAGTCATCAATCACATCTTTCGTCTTTATCTTTCGTAATTATTCAGATTCTAGCCAGACATTGTCAAAATCGAGCCGAAAGAAAGTAAACAAAACAAAACAATCCGGTAACCATAGCAACATAGCGTAGTTACCATAGGCGGAGGGCACCGCCGCTGAGCGGCGTCGCAACGGCACCGCCGCTGGGGCCGTGCGGCGCTAACACCCAGAATGATTGAAGGTTCTATCGGCATCATTTCCCGTTCTTTTAGGGACTTTTAAGTAGCGCGCCGCCCCGCATGAAGACAGCGTGGCTTGAATCAGGCATCAGTGCGCGTTCAGAAATCGTGCCCTCCTATGCCGTCTGGTTGAGCGCCTCCAATCATGCTCCACCACCTTTCCTGGAAAAGATCCACCCTTGCCTATGGGGCAAAATATAAGGGACAAAAACACAAAACAAGACAGATAAAAACAAAGCAAAATTAACTCATTACCTAATGAAATTCAGGCTGGAGCAAAAACATAGGGAATAGGTATCTATGTCAAATTAGAGTGAAAGATTAAAATCAACCTGACCAGGCCTTACGGTCTGACCTGGTCCTAACCACCTTACTTCGCCTAACTTAACCCAATTCAACCTAGCCTACCACAACACTGCAGAGGTACCTTCCCGGAAAAATGACGCCCAGGGAGGTGACTGTCCAACTTATTGGAATACTACCATGAATGCTTGTCAAAATGTGTGTCATCATGCTATTGTTTGACAAGTGATGTATAACAAATGTGATATTAAATAATTATCTCCTGACTGTTGACTGTTGAGTGGTCAAAATATTCAAATAATCAGGGTACAATGCTGTGCATAGTGCACACTAATCATGTTGTTTTTGTGTAGGCCCTCTGCACATTGTTGTGTGCACTGCTATGTGCACAAAAAAGTGACTGGTGCACAAAAAAGTGACTGGTGCACAAAAAAATGACTGGTGGTACATGACAAAACAAAAGGTTGTACAACTGTGAAGTTCATGCCCTTGGTCAAGCTGGTGCCAAATGCCTATAGCTATAGCAGGATCAGTGAGGGTTGTAGACATGCTAATACATTGTGCAATGTGCATTGAAGATATTGGCACAAAGTTCATCCGTAATTACTATGCTTAACACCTAATGTAGGAAGCGACATAAATGCCCAGATGATAAAACTCTCTGGTCAACATCACACAAATTTATTGACATACTTTGCAGGTACATATTTACATTCATGGCAAATAGGTACTTTCGATTTGATTCAGAAACTAGTTGCTAGTAAGCTTGCATTTTTGTAGGTACAACAACGACCATATATTAAATCATAAAAAACCTTCTCATGGAATTCAGCACATACCTTTTTACCAAACAAGTTGGTACCTAGCTAGGTACCATACAATGATTCTAAAAAACTTTCCGCAATCCATCTATGTCTCAACTCACAACTGACACAATGAATTTGAAATACCCTAACAAAACCTATTAACTGTACATAAGAAGAATGCAATACTACAAGAACTATGAATTTCTGAAGTTATTCTCACATGCTGGAATGTTGAAACTCTACTTTTGTCGTCCATTTCCACGTTTGATTGAGCCATCATATCAAACTGTTTTCGTTCTTCAGTCACAAGCTTTCGCACAAATCTTGAATTTTTACGCATCATCTTGAACCATGCTCCAGTCTTTCCAACAAGGTACAAGGTAACATTGAAGCAATTTTGATGTTACCTATAACAGCTTCAGATCATGATAGGCTTGAGGTTTGTTACACCATTTGCCAGACAAATCTCTACAAAATGTGTATCACTTCCCAAACTAAGTAATTGATCATATCAGTATTATGTTTATATAAAGAAACTCAAATAATCCATAAATTGTTATTGAAACACTCCCACTTCAAGAATTCACAGCAAATAACAGTACAAGTACAGAAGCAAACAAACATTGCGCCAGATTTCGTATGAAACGCGCCATCGTCCTGAAGTTTCTACCACAGACGGTAGTTCAACCGCAGCCGTAGTGCGAAAACCCCTGCCCACCTTACCCCACGGCGGAGCTCGGTTGCAATTTGTAAATACGCGCTCCCAGTCGCGTCCAAGGCCCTATATACCGTCTGTGGTCGCGTCTGTGGAGTGGGGCGCGTGGGCGGTCTGGGGTGTTGATGCAGTGGAAATAATATTTTCCTTATACCTAAGCGCAAATCGAAAATGTCAAAAACGCCATTTGGAATATCTTTCTTCGATAAGGTTGGCTGCTGCTCGGGCTACAACACCAGGGCTAGAAATATCACGTAAGTGTGCAACAAGTAATGACCCTGGTTGAGAATAGAACACCATATTGTAACAATATTATTAAGATTAATTGTGTGTCACAATATCCTAATCATTGGCTTTTGTAGTCCATGTTTAAACCATGTAAAAAATTATCTCTGGTAGGTGCTTTGTGCAGTTTGCAAGTTTCTAGGAACTTCATGGGAATTATCACTTAAAGGGACACTCCCACCTTAACATTAGTTTTGAGTTGAGATAGCCAAATTGGTGGCCATGGCCTGCAAATACCGGTTTGGGCACTCACAACATCGACAAATGCTTTAATTCGGAGATATGGAATTTCAAACTTGCAGTTTTCGGATTCTAAGGGGCTAGTGCATTGGTATGCCCCCTTAGAATTTGTGACGTCAGCGGAGATCTAACGATTTTTAAATCTTTTACAAAAACGTTTGGTAGCACGCGGTGGTATATGCTGCTTTGCGCGCAACAAATGCCGCACTTTCAAATAAAGTCGCTAGGAACAGCGGAGATCCCAAAAAGTAAACAAAAGTAAAAGTCTAATATCTTGAAAACCGGTGAATATTTTTCGATGAAATTTGGTAGATATTAGTTTTCGCTCTTTCTGAGCCGAGCGACATCACTTTCGTGCCAATTCATTAACTTTTTTGAAGGTGGGAGGGTCCCTTTAAGTGGGAAATATCACGTAAGTGTGCAACAAGTAATGACCCTTATGGTTTTACAGCTCTGATCTTGTTATTTAGGTAATCTCATAGCATGTGTCTTAGGTGCTGCCAGTCATTTGTGAAATGTCACTAGACTCATCAATTTTTAAGCGATTTACACAAATTTTGCTGTATATGTTAAATACATGATGCTGATTTCAAAAACGGTTTTGTTAGTTGTAGGATAGGTAGGTACCTAAAGTTGCAGGATGTAGGCGAGGTGGTTAAATTACAGAAAAAGTCTGATTCACTTTTCAGACATAAATTTTGCACATTCTTACACTATTTGACATCCTGAATCCAGATATTATACTTACATGTAACGGAAATATGAAAAAAACAACAAAAAATTCCAGCCGTCACAACCCCATTTACATCACACAAACCAGCCACGCTTACCAATGCAAATGAGACGATAAACGCGGCCATATTAAAAATATTTGCTCCCATTTCCGGTAGAACAGTTGCGCGACATATGCTTTGAAAGTGATGTCAAAATAACAAAACATGAAAAAATTGTGGTATGTGGGAAAGAAAACACCAGGAAATTGTGTGGAACTGTGCAGACCGGTGCGTGTGGGCCTGACTGCGTCTGTATTCTCATCCTGCTCCTTGCTTTCGAAGCCATCGGCCCCATCCTGCTCCATGTTGTCACAGTGTCCCAAAATGTGTTTATTTGGGTGGGAAATGACATCCAAGTAAAAATCATTTTGTACTCTCGCCTCTAATTTCTTAGAGCAATTTTCCACTCTCAATTTGACCAAGAAAAGTGTTTGCATGAATGGTCGTTTACTTTTTCCCTCATTTTATTACACTTGTTTATAAATTGATGCCATCTATCCCTTTGACTGGCAATTTTCCACTCTTATCTCCCTTTTTAGAAAGGAAGTTCCCCTCTGACACCCAAGCCAAAATACAATTTTGGGACACTGTGTTGTCAATGCCTGTCTTTCCATGTGTGACTATCCCAATTTCTGGAATCACTCCCTTGTCCATCCCATTTTCAAGTCCGGTGATCCTGATCTGATCTCCAGCTACCGTCCTATTTTGATTGTCCCCCTATTTCGATTGTCCCCACCATAGCCAAAGTTGTCGAGCACTTAGTGCACCGACAACCTTCCGCCTACATATGTGACAATCACCTCCTTTCTTCATCCCAACACGGTTTCCGTTCTCTCCACTCCACCGAAACCGCTCTGCTCTCTGTAACCAACCACACTTTTTCCAACATGGACCGTGGCCTCATCTCCCTCCTCTGCCTTCTGGACCTCAGTAAATGCTTTTCACCGTAAACGACACACCGTCAGTGTCGGGGGCACCGTAAACGACACACCGTCAGTGTCGGGGGCATAGTAACGACACGCCGTCAGTGCCGGTGGAATTGGAGACTGTCAAATGGCGGTACCAATAAACGCGACCGGCCTTTATGGTGTCGAATCGCTGCAAAAATGTGTGAGACTGTGCAAATCCGATAAAAACGAGATTGGGGTGGAAACATCGCCATATGCCCCAGCTTGAGTTGAGTCACAAATGGACGTCAATATAGGATGAGAGGCATAGATGTTCCCCAGAACTGAGTTGCCATCATGAACCGAACACGTGCGTTGGCGGTGGTAGGGGCACACGCGCGCACCCAATGGTCGTTCATGCGGCTTTGCTCTGTGACACAGGAGCACGTTTTGTTTTTGGTGGGACTGGGTACCTAGCAGTTGTCTCAACGATCCCGTCTTGCTAAATGTGGAGATAACCGTATGTCATCATACTTATCTTATCGGGTCAGATAGGACGCCACTTACTAATCAGATAAGGCTTACTCGCATTTAGCCCATATTGCTGGTAACGGGTCGGCTGCGTCAGCTCTTTCGTGCCTCAAAAGGCAAGGATACTATACCAACATTTTAGTTTGACATTACGTCACCGTAGGTTTGCAGTTTGTTGTGGGAACGTGCAAAACAAAGCTTTAAAATGCTCAGCTAGCCCCGATATGTTTAATTATCCTAGACTGGGGCCTTACAAAGTCCCAGATAATTACCGGATAATTATCCAACAACATGGCGGATGCTAAGTGTTTTACCTTTTGTGGACGCGGACATTTTGCAATTGGTGTTGATTGCTGTTCTGTATTGTTTGACAGGTTCAAATGGCTGATATTTTTGCTGACGTTTATCACGTACGCCGCCTTCCACGCGTCCCGCAAGCCCATCACAGTGGTGAAGAACGTGCTGAATCAGAACTGCACCGGCAAGGAGCCGCCGCCGGGGGTCAACGCCTCGGCGGACCCGCACTGGTGTGACTGGGCGCCGTTCGGTACGTACCGGCCGACACCGGCCGTCCCACGGGGTCCGTGCCCAGTGCCGCCGACCCCTTCCCTCTACGGCGGCTGGGACCGGGGCCGGCCGCCGGGCGCCGTCTGACCCACTGACCAGCCCATCTGTGCCGAATCCGAGGCGCTGTGAGGTGCATAAACATTCAACATTACTATTAATCATTTGTGAAACGACGCAAAATACTGTGCTATGGATATGGACTTATATAAGTTTGCAAATGGCAAGTGTCATTCCATTGGCCTCAGATGTTCGGAAGGTAAACTAACGCTAGGATATGATACAGTATGATTAGTGCTCACCTCAGGGGATTTGAATTAGTCTCTATTTAGCTTGCCAGGGCTGTGTATTCGGAATTGTAATGGGCCGTCTGTTCACGTTTGCAGAGGGAGAGGACTCCAATACCCTGCTGGGGTTCCTCGACTCGGCGTACCTGTGCGGATATGCCTTCGCCATGTTCTTCAGGTGAGTTGTCCGACTAATCGCCTTTAATGTTCACGACACACACTTCCGTGCGAGCGTGTCTCCGGCTCTCGGCGGTTATCGTTCTGACACTGTGTTGCCGCTGACTTAGCATGCTGAGGTCTCCGCGCTCGTTACCGCAGATAACTTCTCGTCACCGTCCCCACCCGCTGTGTTCCCGTGCAGCGGCATGCTGGCCGACCGGATGGACCTGCGCTACTTCCTGTCGGGCGGCATGGCGCTCTCAGCCGTCTTCACGGCCCTCTTCGGCCTGGCCTACGTCTGGGAGATCCACTCGCTGGCCTACTTCATCATCATACAGGTGCGTGACAAGGAACGACGCCTGGAGATTGTACTGAATGTTCAGTTACATATTCAGTCGTTAGTCGAGCATGCCATCTCGTTGGGTATTTAATTTTATTTAGCCAATGCTCAACACAAAATACGTCAGCAATACGCATTTACTTCCTCATGTATCTGCAGTGCGGTGGATAGGTGAGTGCTATTGACGGCCATTCTTGAGATTGTTATGATGAAATGCTCTGCAATAAGCCAGCCTTCAACATATCGCGTTGGTACTTGACTTTATGACATTGTTCGCATGCCTACTCGTAGCACGGCTATCTGTGGTGATATGGGATGAACGGCGTGGTTACAGCTGCGTTTTCAGATTTTGTCGAGTGACGCGCACTTCATGGCTCAGCACACGGCACATCACAGCCGGCTAGCTCCGTGCTACTGCACTGTCATGCAGCGATAGCCCCACCGTCCCATCCATAGATAGCAAGTCCACTGGGCCCATCACCGCGCGATCGAAGGTCATCATTGAGTTACCTGTTTGTCGTTAATTGTTCGATCGCACGCTGGTTGTGAAGCCGTTGGCGGCTGCCAGGTAATTGCAGTCGAGGGAAAATATTTTACGTGCTTTGGGCTTTCTCTTTGAGCTTCACTTCTATTGTTTTAAAGTTTTTGCTGGATATGCTCTTATGATTTTGTTATGACCCTGCTTTGAATCGTGCTAATAATTTAAGCCCAAAGAGGAATGCCAGTAAATGGCAACAAATGAGTTGCGATAAGGACAAACTGCATGAAGATTTTGTTACAAATTTTAACGTAAAATAGTGGGACAAACCTTATTTAATGCTACTCTGCTACACATGCCCCCAGTCTGAGCAGGCTGCGAATGTGTAGTACGTCAGCTGGAGCCGAATATTGAAGGATCATGATAGGAAGGTCCTGATCTGAAGTGGCAAACTCTGAAGAACGTGTACTGTTGTGAAGATCATTCATTGTTGATGCTCAATCTTTTAATGTCAGGTGATGGTTGAAGCCTGCATAACACACGACGTAGTGAGGCACCGTTTCAACAAATGCATATGTATTTTCACCATGATCGAGACGATGTTCGGGAAATCGCACCGTCACTATGAGGGTATCGTCCTTCCTGACATCATATCGATTGGCATTCGAAAAAAAACGAGATTGTTGTTCGACTTCCGATTAATCGTGGCTGCGAGGACAGGCCAAACAGCTGAAACAGATTTATAACGTCCTGTTTACCCAAGTAAGATTCTGCTGAATTTAAGACAAAATAGGCCTTTTATCAGACTTTTCGAGTGAAGTGTATTATTGTGAGAACCATCTGGCCACTGTGTGGCGCCATAGAGCGGGAACAGGGTGTCAGGGGCCAGTGTGGGGGCGGCAACTTCAGAGGACCGCCTCCATACAGCGGTCTGCCACTTCCGTAAACACCAGTGACAGCCAGCCGGCCGGCCGGCCGCCGGCGCCGTCTCGGGACGCGATAAGATGAGACCGGGACCTACTTGACACGGAGGTATGCCACCAACAGTCCAGCCGAGCCCATTCCCCAGATACGTGCCGTGGATGCGCTGTGGCACTGTGGAAACTTCAAAGCTAGTATACAATACATCCTGCATGATGGCAGCTGAAAGCTCGTCGGCTTATGAAGTGTCACTCGGCATAACCGCTCTGTACTTTCTGTACTTTCTGTACGATCATGACGATCCGTGACGTTTGCGCATATTGCAGTGAGCAATGTAGTGAGAGAGGATGCCTTGGATATCCCTGCCACACTAGTTCAGGTCGCGCTGTTGTCGCTGACTTTGGACTATGGACTGGACGTGATTCCCTGTTGTGCTGCTCAGTGAAATTTGGAGATCAAACATGACAATGAGTCATTGTGGACTACTTCCGAATTTTACTCGTATACCCTGATGCGGGCTGTCTGATGCTTTGCTTTGAGTGAATGCATTTGAAATGTATATTCCAGTAAAGCTCAATAGGAATAGGGAGACAAATTTGATTAACCAAATAACAAACACTTGCGGCAACAGCAGTTAGTCCTGTGAAGAAATCTAGAGCTGTTCTTTGTTTATTTTCAAATATAAAAACGTCTGTTAAATGTTCATGGTGGATGTCCACGTTAGGGTGATCACAGAAACCTACGCAGAATGATGAAGTCCAGCCGAGGAAGACGTATTCCAAGGTTACACGTACACAATACACAACCAAACAGGAAATAAAACCCTTCTAATCCATGTCTCGTATACCGCCAATGACCCTGACAGTACCGGGTGTCCACCTTGAACTGTCAGACACGGGGGCGTCTGGTGCGCCTCGAGCGCCCCGGGAGGGTACATCGGTGACATGTCACTTCTCACTACCTCCGCGTTTGCTTCTGTTTTACACCGGCTGACAGTTGTGTGACCTGCTGACTCTGTCGCCTGCCCCATATAATCGTGTGTGGATGTGTCATAGTTGTGTCGCACAGTTGTCTTGTCTGACTCACAGTCACGTTGCCTGTTCTGTTCTGTTCAGCGCACGGGTCGTGAACGATTGTCTGCGGTGCCTCCCGCACAGATCATGTGTGGATGCCTCACAGATATGTCTTGCCTAGCCACAGATTGTGGGTGGCGGTCTCACAATAATATGCTGCTCCCCCCCCCCCCCCCCGATTGTGGGCGAATGCCACACATTTCTGTCCCGTTGGGTCCGCATACTGTGTTCCAACGTCTCACATTTCTGTCCCGTCTGTCCTCAGATCGCGTGCGGCTGCGTGCAGGCCAGCGGCTGGCCCGGCGTGGTAACCGTCATGGGCAACTGGAACGGAAAGGGCAACAGAGGTACGCCCCTGGTACTCAACTAGGGAGGGGGGCGGGGTCTCCGGGGCCGCGCGTCCTTCGCGACAAAACGTGACTAGTTGGTTTGCACTTGGATGAGCAATGATTGTGCAAAGTACTTGACAGGCTATCGCGTGTGATACTCGTTGAACTTATCAAAATAGGATATGTGCATTGAGCTATCTTATACGCATGACTGATACGCTGATTTCAAGATGACTCGGCTTCCACTTAGCAACAGCAGCTGTCATTTATGTATATGCCGCACGAGTTCTGCTAGACGTTACTTTCCATGTGCTCTTGCATTGTGCGCCGAGTAACCAGCTGTAATATGTTATCGACAGATGAGCGATATGTGTATAATTTGACGTTTACCCCAGTTCTTACAGTAAGTGTGTTAACCCGCGCGGGGCTGGGGTCTCCAGCCGAACGCGCGGGGCTGGGGGGGGGGGGGTAAATTTTACCCCCCCCCCCTGTTATCTCCCGAACTAATGGTCCGATTTGGAAAATTCAAACGCCAATCGAAAGCTCTTATCACGAACTACTAAAAACATGTACTTAATTTAAAGTTTGAGGTCAAGGTCAAGGTCAGGTCAAGGGTACAAATTGCAAGTTTCTACAGTATCGGCCTTGCACCGTAGTTGCCGAAGAATGGAGTCATGGACTGAGACTGATCGCCCAAAACGTGTTCTTAGGCTACCAAGACAATATTCGTTGCATACAATATCATTCAGAGGTCAAGGTCAAGGTCAGGTCAGGTCAGGTCAGGTCACCAAAAAACAAAGTATAGAAAAGGGCATGTGCGACACATGTTTTATGGGTCATTTTACTCATAGAATTCAAAAGGCACACTCATTAAGTGATATGGAACACCTCTGGATGAATTTCAGGTCGAGGTCAGGTCAAGGTCAGGTCAAGTGAGGTCAAATTTTGAAGTTGGTTGTTAAGGCCTAAAAAGGTGTCTATCTGATGCAGTTTTTCACGGCGAATCGAATGGTGCTATTTTTGTTTCCGTACGAGGTCTAGAACTTCCAAAAAAGTCATTTTTCAAAAAATTGTGTGTCGTGACGTCATAAAATTTTGAATAACTCCCACATTTTTGAACCGATTCTTCTAAAATTTGGTATGTAGGTGCACATAGACCACTTCTCTGACATATATTCCGGTTTTTTCGATAGACTCAAAATTTTGTATTTTATAATGATTTTCCCAAAAAAATCAGTTTTTTGAAAAAAAAATTTAGGCCAAAATCCAAAATTTTCAAAAAACCGAGATAGCCATTTGATAGACAAAGTAAAATTTCGTATAACCTTTTTTGTTACGTCTTGATTCCTTTAAAAATGAAGATGTTAGCGGCGTTTGAACTTTTGCCGTTTTTGAGGCGAAAATGGCGAACATGACGTCACTAAAACGTCAATTTCTCAAAAATTTTCCGACGGATTTTGCTCAAATTTTCAGGGAACGTGTCAAATTGATGTAAGAAAAGGTACTGAAAGTTTTGCGGCGCTGCGCGCCGCCGTTTTTGAGTTATCGCAAAAATTCGCGAGGGGGGGTAAATTTTACCCCCCCCAGCCCCGCGCGGGTTAACCCTCGCACGACCAGGCCATTTCTCATAACACGAACGACCAGGGGGGTTGTTACGACCCCCCCCCCTGGCGTTTCGAAACGGAAGGTCGTAGAGCTTAGCGGAAAAAACCAACGGATTGCTCTCAACGAGATCTCGCGATTGGTGGTATATTTTTTGGTCCTAGGTCAACATTTGACCTACTTTTGACCGGTCAAAGGTCAAATTTTCGGAAAAATAGACTTTTTTCAACTTTCCGCGGCGATTGCGGCAAAACGGTGGGAGATATCGACTTGAAACCTTCACTATCGTGTTCCTTGATTAATTCTCTATCGTTTGGTATGTATTTCGTTTCCCTAGCTCTAAAAATGGCGCGTTGGGAGCGCCGGAAGTCGGCAAGGTCACAGTCGGCGGCAAAAATTCGAAAAATCAAAATTTAAATTTTTGAAATTTGATTGTATTTTTGGATTTGGGAGGTCCATTTGCTCCCTACAGAAGCTAATATTGCTGCATATTCCCTTTGAGGTGACAAGAATTAGCAAAATAGTGGTTCGGGTGCTTTTCAAAAATAGTAGGTACCGGACGCTGTTCCTCTTGTGACGTCATAGCTCCGTGACCTGACCTGACCCGGTCAAATTTCTTATACCATATGATAGCCAATACTTGCCCCAACATGCATGGGAAGTTTCATCACGATCCATCAACCGATGTCCGTACCACCGGCAGGAAACCTCGGGCGTTGGCACTCAGTTTGTGAAAATCCGGCCGGAGGCTGTACCTCTTATGACGTCATAACTCCGTGACCTGACATGACCCGATCAATTTTTTTTCGGCAAAAGATGCGCAAAGGTTGCCCCAGAGGGTATTGAAAATTTCAGCCCGCTACGACAAGCCGTTTAGCGTGCACTTCGAAAAAACCTCAGGGGGGGGGGGGGGTTGATACAACCCCCCCACCCACCCCTAGGCGTTCTAGGGTTAAGACCAACTGGCTCTGTAATGTTTACATATTGTAGCCACTGACTCATATCTGGCCGGGTCCCGAAACTGACGTGACACCGCGCGCTGTGTTTGCAGGTCTGATTTTCGGCATCTGGAACTCCCACACGTCGGTGGGGAACATTCTCGGCTCGCTGATGGCCTCGGCCTTTGTGGACACCGACTGGGGGCTGTCGTTCATTGTGCCAGGTATGGCCGCCGACGCCGACAGGATGGCTGGGAGTGTCGCGCTGACTGGCTGACTCGCCGTCCATTCAGTAGCAAATGCCCGGCTCACATACCCGGCCTCAGCATCGTCCATTAGCTGTGTGGTGTATAGTTTTTGTTAGAATGGCTGCGGGTGGGAAAGGGGTAATGTGTCTGTGCATCACATTGGTGTAGATCATTCAACAAATGTATTGGAACTTTCCGTTTTATTTGTATAAGTACGTTATCAAATGCCGTAACAAACGTTATTCCTACATAAAAAATTGATGTTAGTGTGATGGTAGTTATAGGTTTCTTTTTGTCGAAAACAAAACTGTTTTGTTAATTGTTTTCGTCTGTTTATTGTAGTTTCATTATTCAAATTATTGATGATATAATTCTTCTTTTCATGATTTTATCTCGTCATCCTCAATGTATAACTGACCAAATGAAATGAACAAGTGTATTTATATGATAGCTATCCCAGTCGTCACGTGTGGCTGGTTACCCGTTACCCGGAGAAGCGGGGGAGGGGGGGGGACGGGTGACCTGACCGGGCACATTCTCCACGGGACCGGTAGAGCTGTCCATTGGGACTGGTAGAAGCGGTAGCACTGTCCACTGGGACCGGTAGAAGCGGTAGCACTGTCCACTGGGACCAGTAGCGCTGTCTCCGCCCCGTCTCCGTCCCCATCTCCTCCCCGTCTCCGCCCCGTCTCCGCTCTGTCTCCGCCCCGTCTCCGCTGTGTCTCCCTCCTGTCTCCCTCTTGTCTCCCTCCTGTCTCCGCCCCGTCTTCCTCCAGTCTCCGCCCTGTCTCCTCCCAGTCTCCGCTCTGTCTCCTCCCAGTCTCCCTCCAGTCTCCGCCCCGTCTCCGCCCCGTCTCCGCTCTGTCTCCGCTCTCTCCCCGCCCCGTCTCCGCCCCGTCTCCGCCCCGTCTCCGCCCTGTCTCCGCTCTCACGGCCCTCCGTCAAGGCCCGGCCTGTAGACAGCCGCGCACACCTGCTGCGCATGTGTCGGTGCGACATTGCTTATGTATACTCGTATATCCGCGCACACACGCTGCGCATGTCGCATGTTACTAGATAGACCGTCTAGCGCATGCGCGTAGTTTTTACTATACCGTCTAACGTCCGTGTGTGCTGTACATTAGTAAAATCTGAAATTTGTAAAGACACTCTTCTACTCATCGGTAACAAGGCTTTGGAGGGAAACGGAAGACGAGGAAGCGAGGGCGACATGAAGAGCCCTGGGGGCTCACCGAGTGCCGCCCTCGCTTCCTCGTCTTCCGTTTCCCTCCAAAGCCTTGTTACCGATGAGTAGAAGAGTGTCTTTACAAATTTCAGATTTTACTAATGTACAGCACACACGGACGTTAGACGGTATACTAAAACTACGCGCATGCGCTAGACGGTCTATCTAGCAACGTGAGACATGCGCAGCGTGTGTGCGCGGATATACGAGTATACATAAGCAATGTCGCACCGACACATGCGCAGCAGGTGTGCGCGGCTGTAGGGAACTCCTACACTACCCCCTCCCTAGACGGGTCGCGAACGTGACGCGTCGAGATCGCTGTGGGGATCGAACGTCGTGATCGGTGCGAGAGCGCAAGATAGATCGCGGTGGAGCTGGTCCCGGTGCTGCTGCTCTTGGAGATGGTTGTTCTGCAGGCGGCGTGTCTTGTGGCAGCATCAGCTCCAGGCCGTCCGACCGGGCAGCTGATGGTGGCAGAGTCGCAGAGGCAGGAGACTGCTGCGCAGGTAGGTGTGGCGTCTCTTCCGGAGACGCAGGCTCGCAGTGGTCGATGTTGCTGGTTGGTGCGCTGGCGGCCACCGGCTGCTTGTTGGGTGGAGCTGGCGTCGGCGTCGGTCGCTTCGGTAGGTTGCCGCGAGGAGATGCGCTGAGTGAGGCGTCAGCGTCGATCCGTTGCTGTTTGGCAGTCTTCGTGTTCCGCACGAAGAGAAGTGTTGCGGCAGATGCTTTCGACCGACTGCACGGAGGCTCGCAGCGGCGGGCCTTGTTGCCGAAACGCTGGTGGTACCAGCAGACAGAGCTGTCTGGGTACGTAGGCGTCGGAGGGCGTGATGGGCGAGGCGTATGACGGATGCGATGTCGACCTTTGTTGCGGTGGGAGAAACTGCACGGCGCTTTGCAGCGACGCGCTCTGGCACCGAAGCGCTGGTGGTACCAGCAGATCTCGTAGGTTGATGGATGCGCTGGCTTTAGAGGGCGGTTTTCATGGCGTCGTTGATGCTGGCTTCGGCCAAGTTGCGATGCTGCGCCTTTGAGTCGACGCTGGGTGGCCTCCATTTGCTGTACTCGGACGATGAGGGTCGCGATGGTGGCTAGCAGGGCTGTGAGCCGACCTGCTGCCTCGGGTTCGGGTGCCGGCGAGCTGAAGCTGGTTGCGGGAGGAGCGGTGTGCTGCCGGGTGGCTTCGCTCGACTCCATGGTGTGGTCCACGAGTAGCCCGGATCACGTCGGGGTCACCAGTGTAAACTTAGGGGGAGACGGTCGTCCCGGTTTACAGTCATCCGATCATGGTGATCGGGAAACGTGTTCCTTTCCGAGCACTCGGTGAGCCCCCAGGGCTCTTCATGTCGCCCTCGCTTCCTCGTCTTCCGTTTCCCTCCAAAGCCTTGTTACCGATGAGTAGAAGAGTGTCTTTACAAATTTCAGATTTTACTAATGTACAGCACACACGGACGTTAGACGGTATAGTAAAAACTACGCGCATGCGCTAGACGGTCTATCTAGTAACATGCGACATGCGCAGCGTGTGTGCGCGGATATACGAGTATACATAAGCAATGTCGCACCGACACATGCGCAGCAGGTGTGCGCGGCTGTCTACAGGCCCTCCGTGTGTGTTTATGCTGCTGAGTGCGGCGCGCGGCCGGCCGGCGGCAGTGCCGTCCATGGCTGCACGTGTTTGTCGGGTGGTCCGTGGGTCGGCCGACCCGCGCCAGCACGTGACCCGGGGAGGGGGCGCTGGGGGGAGGGGGAGGGGCTCGCTGGTGTCACGTGGTGACGACGTGACGAATCTGTCACCAACGGCCCCAAGGTGACCAATGCCGACGGCCCAGTGTAAATGTTTAGAAAAAAAATCCTCGTCTTCAGGGATTTATAGTGAAGCAGTTCGATGGGCATGATCGCTTCTATGTGAATGCCTTGTTGACAAAAAAAGCAGACAATACTCATGCGTACACAAGTACACGTGCGTCTACATATCACGCTAAATTGGGCATTACTCGGCTAATTTGTGCGGATTTGAACGAAATTTACAGCGTTGTTGCACTGGCAAGCTGCGGCATTTAGATTGTGACATGCTGCAATCAACGCAATCCACCACTTTCGTGTAAGTTGTGCCATATTTGTTGCAAACTTCAAAAGCTTTTACCGCCCTAGTTGTCTCCAACTTCAATGGGTCGGTATTGACTCTTGTGCTCCAGCAAGGTATTGTTTCGTGATGGAATTAAAATAGTAGCGCAAGAAGTCAACGTGCCGCTCTGTGGTGCACAATATCTAACCCTACGCCGCATTGCGGCAGAGTCTGCAGTGCGAGTCGCTCCCCCGAGTCCCTCTGCTCCCTGTGTGCCCCCGGTCGCAGTCCCGTGGTCCGCCACTGACGGTAGCCCACTCTCTCTGTCTCCAGCTGCGTTCCTGGCAGCGGTGGGCCTCGTCGACTTCCTGGTGCTATCTCCCTACCCGCAGGACGTGGGCTGCGACCCGCCCGTCCAGGTAAGTGCCCGCTCCGGCTCCGGCTGCGACCCGCCCGTCCAGCTGAGTGCCCGCTCCGGCTCCGGCTCCGGGCACTCGCTCCGTGTCCGGACCTCTGAGCACTAACGGTCAGTCGGACTGCCCCCTGTCCGCTCCCCGGCCACTACCCCTCCGGCTGACTGCTGATCGCCGCGGCTGTCAGAGCCATCACCGCTCGACTGCTGCTGGCTGTCGGTTCTTATGGCGCTGACTAGCTCTGGTGCGACTCTCGGGGTGTCTCCGCTACCGCGTCTTCTGCCAGCTGCTGACAATGACTTGCCGCTCACAACTTCTGACCGCTGTGGCCAGGGGACCCTGATTCTCTGGTCTAAGCCCTCTCCGTCTTCAGTCTGACTACTGCTTTATGCTTCTCCGGCCTGAAGCTAACTCACTAGCCAGCTGCTATGTAGATCCCTCACCAAACTATTTTCATCCGTTGCTTAAGTTTCTCCCAAGGCTATAGAAATTCCTGCCCCTTGAATGCATATACCTACTGAAGCCCGACCATCTCCGTCTCCACCAAAGCGAGCTACTTTGGTTGGAGCTGCACGTACCGATCTGCTTTGAGATAAGCTGATGTGAACTTTTCCTTCGGCTTATCTGGTAAAGTATTCCCTCGTGAATGATGGCTTTCTGCTTTTGCAACTGTCCTAATGTCCCGATTACCGTGATATGCGCTTCTATTTTCCTCGGCTTTATGTTTTATGAAAGTGTTTTACCGTAATTGACTCGTGGGCACGTTTTGGCCTTTGTGTATGTTTCCCCAGGGATTGTGTTCTGCTGCTTAGAGTCGGCTTTCGTGTGCGGTGCTGGCCACTGTAAAATGTGCTGTGGTGAATATGGCGTGCTGATGTGACCATGAGCTTAAGTAACCAGCGTCCGTGTTTTGCCAGCTTGACCATGAAATTTATACGGTTCACTGGTACAGACATTATCCACTTCTGTCATTTGCCTTATCTCATTATACAGTCTCAATAATAGCACACTCCTTAAGTGGTATTTTTGGTGTCGTATTTTCATGCAGTTAGGCTCCTTTTGTAATCAATGATATGAGCATTCCCGTTGTTTATATGGTATTGATTCTTATTCATTGATTCCTGTCGAAATGTTAGCATAATGTATTAGTTTTGCAACCCGTGCATTGGTCACAGATGATATCGCAAGTCCGTTCGTTTGGTGGCCACAATGGGACGTGGCATAACTAGTCATTCATAAGCCTCCTCGCAGACTTGTAAACGATTCAAAAAATTTCAATCAATTCAATCACGACTCACTTGATGAAATGACCGATTCAATCATAACTCAATCAAACAGTCTGATTTTCCAAGCGATTCAATCACGACTCATGGACCTTGTGATTCAACTCAATCACGACTCATCCCATTATCAGTGATTCAGGGAATGACTCAACTCATGATTTGACTCAACGCGATTCAATCAAGATGTTATATAAAATATATACATACGAGGGGGTATCGAAAAGTTCTGATCATCACCATGAATTAGATGTGATAGAAATTTGATTTTTTTACATGACGTTCATTACTCCTTTACAAGTCACCACACACGACCGCAAACTTATTGCATCGTTTCTTGAGCTGCCTCAGGCGGTCATTGTAGAACCATCGCACTGTCCCGTTAATCACTGCTCCACCTCATCAATGACGTCATTTCTGTCCTTAAATCACCGGCCATACTGCGGATTCTTCATCTCCCGTAACAATTAAGAGTCAGTTAATACCCGGTCAGGTGAATTTCTTAGATGCGGTAGGATTTAATGTCCACATCATGTTGTTTCTTCAATCGCAGCTCAGGACGAATGGGCGGGGGCGCTGTCAGTGCGGATAAAGCATCTTTCTTGGGCTTTTTGGCGGCGATTCTGCTTGAGGCCATCTCGCAACTTCTTCCAAAATGTGCAGTAGTGCTTGCTTATCATTATCCGACCATCATCAAGACAGTCGGTAATGACTATCCTAGGCCAGATCCACAACACTGATAGCATTGACCTTCCATATCGGCTTCTGCATCTTCGCCTTTTAAGAAGGACAGATGTGCCGTGCTTAAACTTCTTGATCATCTTTTTGTCTCTGGATCATACACATAGACCCAGCATTTGTCACAAGTCATCAAATGATCGAAGATTTCTTCAATTTCCTAAAAAAGACCTAGGTTTCATTTCGGAAGGCCAAGACACATTTTTCTCTTGAACAAAGTAGACACACGAACTTCTAAGCGGGCTGACTCTTTATCGGCTATAGTTCTTCGCTGATAATATTTTCAGGCACTGCCAGCATTGAGACCTTTCTGTTGCACAATCATCCGATTGTGCCACACGACGATCTGTAAGGATGAGGTCCTCCACTTCCTTCACAGTCACCACCTTGTCAGTCACTGGTAGTCACTCACTTCTAGACTCCCCTGCAAGGGCCATGCAACCAAGTTGAAAATTATTTCTTCATTTTCGGTAAGTGCATGAGATGGTCTTTCCTCGCCATAAACTAATTTCACGTTCTTGGTGTATTTTCTCAGTGTGATACCGTTTCAAATGCATTAGTAGGATGACGGTTCGGTCCTCAATGGGCCCAATACTCATCTTTTTTTACTTCTAAGTCTCCCCTACATAAGATAAAACCACTTCTCAGGATTCTCTTTGCGGGAGCATTGTTCTTAAGAACCAAGTATACTACCAACCAAAAATCATCAAAATCGGTCTATATCTTCTATGTGATGATCAGAACTTTTCGATACCCCCTCGTATGTGATATCAATTTAAGACATTTTTGGAAACTGATACCAAACAGATATCAACCAAATACACTAGGAAAATACCAAAAAACATAGAAAAGTACTAAATCTATGCTTGCTCACAAATGTCCTGATGAAACAGGGTATTGAAAATATAAAGATTAGCATGGTATCTAAAACATGTGTGTTGAGCACTGAACTCTATAATGAGCATGAGGTGTTGAGCAATGTGCGCCTGCTTACTGCTACTGTTAACTTGATTACTATACTGATTTTAGGGCACTGGAAAGAAACTTGAGATTCATTTTTTCATCTTCATGCATTGACATTTATGTATAATTTTCTGTTTACAGTTTGATTAAAAACTTAAAACAACATTTTATGGTTTTTTTCAATACTGATAGCTAAGCGCATTTATAATACTGACAAAATACCTAAAAATTTTGCAGTGCATTGTGTGTGACTATGATGCAAATGCCACATATATTTCCACATAATATAGTACTAAATATGGTCATAACTTCAATTTCCAACATATGGTGATTGAATCATTTTGTTAATTGAATCAACTTGAATCGATGAGTTGCGGCGAATCGGCAACTCAGTTGCCGATTCAATCACTTGCAGTTGCCATGTGTGACCGATTCAATCAGGATTCATATGGTGACAAGAGGTGATTCAACCGACTCAATCACAGTGAGTCGGCATTTTCAAGCGATTCATGAGAATCGATTCAATCAGAGTTGAATCGCTTACAAGTCTGCCTCCTCGAAAGTCCGACAGCCGGAACCCTGACTAATCAACCGGTCGTCGTATTTGTAGTTGTAGCCTGCCCCTAGAGTTGCAAAGTTTCTCCCAAAGGCTGCTACCGGCACCGCCCCGCCCCACAAAAATTTTCTGGGATACCGGCATGCTACCACGCCCCAAGAAAAAACACCACCAAATTACCGGCATACTAAAAAACCTGCATTGTTGATTCTAGCTTACCCCTACAAGAGATGCCACATTTTGGCAATTTCAGTAGGTACCCATCCCACCCAGCAGTCACCCATTGTCCAAGCACAACTACGATCAGGCTGATTTTGGCTCAGTTGTCCCCACAAATACCCACAATTTTTAAACTCAATTCCAGTCTATAACTGTTAATATATCACCTGTAATCAAAGAGGTATTGCCTACAAAAAGCATAAACAATCTCAGACCACATCTCAAGACTCAAGGCCAGTTTCCAAACAATTTTGTGGTGTTTTGATTCTGCCTTTTCCCCTCGGGAATGCTGTCATGAACATGTATTTATTTTATTATATTATACCTATTACCTACCATCAGACTTAGATCATGCTTTTGCAACATGAATGTGTATTCCTTTTTTATAGACCACAGTAGATTATTCTTGACAATTCTAATTATAACCAAACCTGTGAAATGCTGAGGTCCATGTGTTTGTTACCCCTACCCTTAGCAATGTAACCTCTACCACAAAATACATTTTGCAATGGCTAAGATTGCTGTTCTTACAAATTGATAACCTCTTAGTAGGTATCCAAAGTTTGAATCATATGTTAATAATTTTTGTTTTGTGCAAAACCAAAAATACCGGCATGCTACCGGCAAGACATGCCAGATACCACGAAAAAACCTGAGGTAGTGAAAAATTACCGGCATGCCGGTAGTGCGGTAGGGAAACTTTGCAACTCTACCTGCCCCGACATTTTTAGGCGACTAATGTATTTGGCGTTAGTTCCTGAGCCGACTTACCACATAGCCCCTAAAGGTTCCTTCCGATGTCTTTCTCTCCTCCCCACGACAGAGTCAACCTTTTTGTTCACCTTTCAGTCTCTCAGTCGGCCAGTTTCAGCTATCCTTTTCAATCCCATCTCATGTGGTCTTATCCGTCACTCTTGTTTCCTCTTTGCCCCGATGTGATCGCTACCTTGATTTGTCCTGTCCCTCTTCTTATTCTATTTTCCCTTCATGCCGTGTTCTTTTCGATCCGCGCCTGTCCTGTTTCGCCTGATCTGGTGCGCTCTGTCCGTCCAACTCCGCCGTCACTGGCTCCTCTCGTCTCCACCCTGTCCTCTGTGCGCCCGGCTCTGGTCCATTTGTCCGTTCTGGTCCGGTCCGCTGCCGGTCCGGTCCGGTCCGGTCCGGTGCTCCGGCGCCGACCCGCACCGCCGCCTGCCTCAGGACGTGCTGCTGGTGGTGCCGCACCAGGTGACCGACCTGTACTCGGATAGTGACGCCGCCTCGGCCGACGAGAGCAAGGCGCTGCGAGCCGGCCCGGCCGCCGCCCACCCGGCCGTGAGTCACCCCCGGGCGCGTGTGTGATTACCATTTACCAGTAGAGCCATGCACGACACCGCCGGCGTGTGACTGACAGTAGAGGCGTGTGACTGACAGTAGAGGCGTGCACGACACCGCCGGCGTGTGACTGACAGTAGAGCCATGCACGACACCGCCGGCGTGTGACTGACAGTAGAGGCGTGCACGTGGGCGCCAGAGTGTAAATAACAGAAGAATGGTGCATGCGTTGTGAGCTCACTGGTTAGAGCCATGCACGCGCTTTGACCTAACTAAGCACTAGTTGCCCACGTGCTGTGAGCTAACAATGACTAACAGTAGAGACGTGCACGTGATATTCGACGACTAAATAAACAACGGTAGACTCCTGCACGCCCGTTCGGACGGCCGTACCGCTTATAGTTGCGATATTTATGTGCTGAACGCATGACAAGGCTTCCATCCGCGCCCAGCTTAGGCAGTTTGCTATAGTTGTGTGCTTGCAGACTCGGTCTGTTGCCCTGGGGTTTATGAGGCGTTGGCGGGTGATACAAAATACTTACTGTCGTGTTTAGTTCAAAATGGGATTTCTTCAGGAAGATTGTTCACTTCATGACTTGCGAAAATGGTTTGGTTTTGAAATTGCTAGCATCATTCACAGATAATTGCCGGCAGGGGTTTTAGGATGTTCTGATCACCGTGCTGACCGTGCTAGATATCCGTAAATGTCAAATTTCATGAAATATCTTCGTGCTCTTTTTAGCATACCGCACTCGTTTTATGCGAAAAAAACTGGCATTTAACGAAGTCCTTTGAGTGACATTGGCTGGATAGCCGTGCGGCTTTCTACTCACCGGCTTCTGAGACTCCTCGCGATACATTTCTGGCACCAGCGGCCTTCTATGCTTGCATGCTGCAATCGTTTGACGTCGACTGTCGTCCAGTAAATTGGAATTGACTAGACTATCGACACGCAATCGCAATAGGACAATAGGTGGCATCAATGTTGCTAATGGAAATCGGTTTGTAATGTCAACGCACCTATCCTCGACCCTGTACTTATGCTTCCGAGACGCCGGCCAGAGTATTTCCTTTGTATCGAGATCCTGTCTTGGATTTCTACTCTCACCCCGATAAGCCCTGTTTTGAGTCCTCTCACTGTCCAGAGTACGGAGTCCTGTTTCGCCCTGACAATGTCAGCACCATTCCTGAGCTCCCATCCCCGCCCCTCGTCCCCATCATTGTTGTCGCCAGACATCGCCCCAGACCATGGAGATGTGCACCCTCTCGTCCTCAGGGGGCCAACAGTCCACGGTATGTGCCCGATTTAGATGTGGTTATCTGGGAACTAACGTGGATGCTGTGGCGCAACGTATACGCTAGACCGTCATGACTGGCTTGAATGATCACATAAACAAGCACTTGCTTATAGAACCTGGTCATTAGCCTTTGGCGTTTTGTGGCCTTGGGATTCCGTGGCGACTTGGTCATGGAAATGATTGAACCCGAGCAAATCAATATTTTTCACCATGCACACAGTAGCCTTGTGGCCCAGTGGCAAGAAACGCTGATAGTGTAGAGTGCAGAAACGTTCAGTGTAGAAACGCTGGCAGAAGCTGGGCTGGATGTTACGGCAGGGTTACTATCAATAACTTTACATTGTGCCACTTTGATATCGCTGACTGACATGAGATCTGGATCTGAACACATTTTTAGTTATTTTTAACTTCATATCGTTTCTCGTGTCAGTTATTACCAGTATAACGCCTTTTGGGGGCGACTAACGGAGCGAGCGAGAGGGTGGGCCTTGCACGTGCGAAATTGCGAGGGGGTACCTCCAACTGACTTGTGCACGGCACCCTACAAACCGGTCTCTAGCGATGTGCCAAATTTGGGCACAATCGGCCCAGCCGTTCTCGAGATCTGAAAGTGGCACCCTGCACGTGCGCACGTGCAAAATGGGTCCCAACTGACTTGTGCACGGCACCCTACTAACCGGTCCCTAACTGTGTACCAAATTTGAGCGCAATCGGTCCAGCCGTTCTCGAGATCTGGAAACGACCCCTGCACGTGCGCACGTGCAGCAGCACCCCAACTCTGGCACATGAATATGCAGTGCCTAGTGGGTGCCTACCTACATGCCAAATTTCAGCGCAATCGGCCAAGTAGTTACCGAGATATTGCAACAATTACAAAACTGACACCTCTTCGTTTTGCACGTGGCACGTGCATAAGGGGTCACCCACATGCATCGGGAATAGTCCAATACTTGGTAGAAGGAATGAAGCTACCCTACAAAAATTACCGCATGTAAATCGGTCAAGAGGTTGCTGAGATATAAGCCTCGCAAAAGCGTCCGCACGGCCGGCCGCTCATACTCAGAAATTTCCGTTAATCTAAGGAAAGACTACGCTCGCTTCGCTCGCTCCGTAACAAGTGATAAGCAGCAAGCACCTATAGTAACTATTTACTCTTCATCAGTAAGTCATATGAGACTGTCACCATCTGGCCAGGTGTTATCGGCTCAGAGCCAAGGCCAGTTCCGAGGGGCACGCGCGTGCGCACCTTGGTTGTCAGGCGCTGACTCGGCATGTGGTCAGCAGAGCTTACCGACCAGTTAGATACGCAGACCATTGATCGGGGCACCGGGGTCAGAGGTGTGCCTGCTCGCAGTAGGCTAGCTTTGAAGACTGAAGGCTGCTAGCGCTGCAAGTCATGCTCCCCACAGTAAGAGACGGATCACTTTATTCTGTAAATCTGCACGAGGTCCTACCGGGCTACACTGTTGATCAGTCTCCATAGCTTTGTCAGATGCCAGTGAGATTTACACATGCCTCGAACGCTCCCATAGCGTTACGATGTTTACAATGCACCACGGACCCCGAACACAGTGACAGCTGCTGTGGGGCCGGTCTGTTCATAATGCACGGCACAGCCGGTCTCGCAGTCTGAGAGGGACAAACTATTCTGTGCCGCGAAGTAGGCATTTTTCGCGGGCCGTTACGATGTTACTCGGGCATCGATATGAACTATTGTTATTTGGAGCGTAAGATTCAAAGATCCTTTCCATAACTTTCGTATTCATCCGTCAGACTACATAAGTCGCGTCACTACCTGCATGCGCTCTTTGCTGCTTCTATTTTCGTTTCCTGTAAACTTTGTGTGATGCTGCTGTCTGAATGTCTGTTTCGCGCCTGCTGTGCATGGGCCTCCTCGCATCTATGTAGGCGTGCTGGGCCGTTATCAAGGCAACATATACATAGTGTTTCAGTGGATAATTAGCGGGTGGCTGTGGTTCCGATCGACAGGAAATGCTCAGTTCTAACGCAGGCTCAACTATAGCAGCATTTGCCATTTGGTGTAACGTATGTCGTAATTCCACCGTTGGACGTGATATGATGCACTTGAAGTTGGCTGTAGTGTTTGTCCAGAGTCTGACCATACGAGTATATACCCTCAGTTGGGTTTCATCTTACATGTATGGTCGTTTGCGGGCAATCGTCCGCTGTGTCTACTGGTTGCTGTGCTGTGGTGGATGTCATATAGCATTCCTTTATTCTCCGTCCTTTTTGTGACGCCTCTTTGTCTCTCTATTCCACCCCGTGTCTCACTCGGGTGCCATGTCCCGTGTCTGTCTGTCTGTCTTACAAAATTATACTTTCATTCATGTATTTGCAATCACTGTATTACATTCTTTTATTACATTCATGTATTTTTTAGATGAATTTTCAACCACGGGCCATGATCACATCAATGTCAAAATATAAGAATCAGCCTAGCGACCGGTGGTCCTTGGACCAGAGTGGCACAGACGGACCACTGCTGGTGGGGGCCACAAATGCATGAGTTTGGTCATCAATAATATGTGCACCCATGAGGGCCCGATATGGGCCCAAAATGGGTTGGCGTTGGCCCGGTGGTGGGGTCCAGTGCAGTCTATCAGGGGCCGGTGTTGGCCCATCGGAGGCCATATATGGATTGTAAGGCCGTTAGGAGACGTTGTAGGCTCATCAGGGGCCATTTGGGACAATTACGGATCGGGGGCCCATTAACCCTCTCCCCGTTGGGATGGTCCCATAGGACTCTTGTTGAACGTCTTGTGAACGTCTTGTTGGGATCGCCCTGTGGCTTTTCCTGATTAGCAAGAAAACAGCAACGCGCAGCGCCGCCAAATTTTCAGTAGATTCCTTTCCGGGCATCAATTTGACAGCTTCACACAAAATTTCAAGTCTTAGGTCACCTTAGGTCAGGAGTAATTGAGGTCAAACTGAGGTGATGTTCGAGCAAACATGAGCAAAACACGTGAAATCTTTAAACGCTCACAGAAGCTACAGTAACAAACAATTTCAAAGCTCTTCTTGTGGTCTTGTAAAGAAAAGAAGGCGCTACAAAACTGCTATCTCGGATTTTCGAAATTTGGGATTTTGACCCCCAAAATAAGAAAAATGATTTTTATAAAATAGCAAAAAAAAATCCAAAAGTATTTCAAATTTCGATATAAACGGAATATTTATGATAGTCCCTGCGTTCTTCTATCTACATATCAAATTTTAGATAGATACCTCCTTTTTGGCCGAGTTATAGCGAAAAAAAAACTTCAATGTTGATGACGTCAAATTTTGAACTCAATTTTTAGCATTTGTAGACCACGTAGCGCAAAACAAAGACCACCGTGAGACTTCCTGCGACGCGTTTTGATACAACCGTTTTGCTACAACAGCAGGGCTGAGGAGTTGTAGTCGGAATCTGTCGGAGTCGACAGTTCTGCTCAGAGGCGGAGCTGTCATTATCCTTCCAGTCGGAGTCGACATTGCATGGCTCGAAGCCGTGCTCTACAGTCTACACCTGTTTGCGGGAATATATTACGTTGATTTTATCACCACACATTTGGTTGAAGCTTAGGTCATGCCTACTGTTTGCAAGTTTGCACCTGTACGTTTGGGAATTAAAACATATGGGCACGGGCAAGATTCTTACAGATAGAGACGGGCTAGGTAAACAAACTTTAGTTGCGACATTTT